GAAAAAAGTAGTACAGTTGTGACTATTTGTACAGGTGACTGTTTTATACAGATGGCCGTTAGAGGAACGGGTAAAAAAAGTAGTACAGTTGTGACTATTTGTACAGGTGACTGTTGCACACTAGGAGAGTGAGAATTTTTGTACAGGTGACGGTTTTATACAGATGGTGGGGGGTGACAGTTTGTACAGGTGACTGTTTTATACACAAAAAGTAGTACAGTGTGACTATTTGTACAGGTGACTTTTATACAGATGGCGGGTCAAGCAACCGGTCAAGAGGAAATGACTATCGTTGACTTACTGCTGGGGAACAAGGTGTGCTGGTCAAACAGCTGCATGACCAACTGCCGTCTCTGGTCCAGGATTCGCCGGGTGGAGAAGGTGCCCGGGGAGTTGGGGGTCGGCGTCTTGGGCGTGCGCGGGGAGTTGGTGTCACCGTCAAAATCTGGGGGGAACATAATGAAATACTGAGGGCATATTTTAGAAAAAGACCAAAATTATCAAAAGATTTTGTCATGTAAGTCTGAAAAGAAAGAGGAACACATACACGCTGTGGGTGAAGGTGTGCACCGTCTTTAACTGTCGGTCAAGAGCTCCTCTTTCAAGACAGTCGGTTCTGATTTCCAACTCTGTTGTCAAAGAGCAGCATCTTCAACTACAGGCTCTGTCTTTAACTGTTGGCAAAGGTGGGCACCGTTTTACAAAAACCTGCAGACAACAGGCACCCGCTCCGCCTCACTGCACACTGTTGAAGGCCAAAGGAGACTTGGCCATGGGTGAAGTACGTCGCGGGCCTACACCGTGGGCCAGCAAGGTGGTCGAACCCTGGCCCGCCATGGGTACCGTCAGTGTGGAGCCCATCTGACCCGCAGACAGACCGGAGGATGACATGACCGACTGTAACGTCGAAGTCGAGGAGGAGGAGGAGGAGGGGGGCTGGGAGGTCTTGGAGGATTCTTGTGCCTCCGATGAGGATGAGGAGGAGGAGGCAGCAGACGGTGTGGTCGGAGTCTTCGGAGTGTTCTGGAAAACACAAGAAATAAATCAGTGATGGTTTGGGGTCAACCCGGTATACCATATATTGTTCTCACTGGTAACATGAGTGGTTTTACATAGAAGCAGAACCAATAAATTGGCAAAAAAAGATGATTAATCCGCAGACAGGAAAAAGAAGCTAAAACAGCACCTGGACATGAATGGCTGGTGCCTCTATAACTAATCATTGATGGTCACGGTCAAGGTCATGAGTTATTTAATTTTTCTTTTAAAAAAAACAAAAAACAACCAAAGATCCAGAAGTACACCATCCCATAGTGGACCATACGTCGTGCAATCTACGGCGAGGATTAGGGCCAACAA